TGCACATACTTTAGCTTTACATTTTGTGAGGGATGATTTTGCTTTCATAAGGGTTGATGTTGTTGTTACTCACATTCAAGGACAAGGATGAGGATATAAACAAAGTTATGACATTCATTGTTAAGTATGTAATGATGTTGGCCACATATATTGGTATTGTCAATGTTTTTTTCATTGACTTTCTTAAATTCTTAGGTGGAAATTTTAGTTTCAATAACATCTTGTCAATGTTATTACAGTGGAAGGACTTGACATAAAAGTTCTTTCAAGAAATGATATATTATACAAACCTTTTAAAGTATCATCAAGGGCTTCACTTGGCACTAATTCACTCAATATTTATTTTTAAAACTTGTTAAATTATAGAATGTCCTTAGTGGAGGGTCCTTATGTGAATATGTTAATAACATTGTTATCTTTTTCATATTTGTTGATATAATTCTAAATTTATTTTTGATAGTCTATTGTCAAATGTTGTCATCTGCATTTGTGTTATGTAACAAAGCTAACCTTCATCCTCTATAACAATAGTTATGGACTTCATTGTATGTATAGGTGATCACAATCTTGAGCATCAATCTTTATAAGTGGTGCTAAATCAAGCTTTTAACCTTATTCTTGATACAGATTAGTTGAAACATAATCATACCAAATGTGATGATGAGGCTTCTCCCTCTTATCTCATACTTATTTATATTTTTTCCATATTTCTTGCTTTTATTCCATTCCATCCCATTATTTTTGCCTTTATTTCAATTATTTTTGTATCACTTTTATTTTTTATCATTTTTCCTTTATGCTTTTCTATATTCTCTTCAATCCTTTTGATGATCTTACTATTACTTATTGAATATTGTGACAATTTTAAATGTATACCCATACTATAGATCTCCTATATCATTTGGGGTGAAACTATTAGTTGGATCTCACTATTGGGTACTAATAAGTACTATAGTCAAAGAGGATATCTCTAAGACTATTTTCCATGTACCATTTGGTTTATATGAGTTTTTTGTGATGTCATTTAGGTTAAATGATGCTTTAATGACTTGGCAACATATGATAAATAAAGATGACTATGAACTTCATATGTTTTGATCTCATTGTTGGGTACTAGTAAGTGCCGATAGATAAGAAAGATATCCTAAAACTACTTTCTATGTACCATTTGGTTTATATAAAAATTTTATGAAGGTTGGATGATACTTTGGTGACTTTCCAATATATAATAAACAATGTTCTTTATAATATGCCAAAGATGACCACTTACTTTATTGATAATGTTTTGATCTAGAGGGGATATAAAAGGAGCATTTCCATGATGTATGAAAAGTTTTGCAACTAAAGTTCTCTATGCTAAAGTTTATAAATGATATGCAATACTTTCTTAGCATATCTTAGTCATTTTATTGATCACCTTTTTAATCATACTATACAATTATGAGTGTTGTGTAGGCAAGTATCCCAAAATCCTTAACCAATTGGAAAAGAGGGTGCATTCTTGTTCATGGGCCTTTTCCATTTATATTTGAATATTTGCAAATCATTTTTCAAGTCGTTCTATTTAGTTGATTATAATCAACCACACTGACTAAATTGGATTATTACATGTCAATTTCAATATGTAATATGATTTTTTTAGCCAATTAACAGAGTCAGACTCAAAACCTCTTTAATACCAAATTGCATAAACACAAGGCAATCATATTTTTTGCTATCTAAAGCATAAGCAACACTATGTTAGTATGTTCACCACACAAGTATACCTTTGTATATGTACTTCAAATATAATAGGATCTGAGGGTATAATAGCAAGCTTATAAAATTGCATCATAAAGAAATTTTTATGCATTGTCTATTAGTGTTAGTTGTGCCTTCCACTCTTACTATATACTTCATCAATTTCAATTAATGCTAGAAAATCTAGCTAGTTTGCACAAAATATGCTAAAGCATTTTAAGGATAGACATATCTTAAGCTTCAAATAACCACACATTTAAACACTCAAAAATATTACTTGTCAAATGTTCAAATTGTTCCCTTCAAAAAATATAGTTGCCTAATACTTTGACTCCAGCATCCAAAAGGTGATATTTGGATTTTTATCATAAATCTCTACTATAACTACATCAAAGTTCAAAAACATAGAGCATGACATGCTTTTAAAAGAAAATAAATACTTTTCAAAAGTTCTCAATAAAATGTCTCATATAAAATTTGTGATACACATTATTGAATGTTGATTAAACACCTTCTAACACATTTTTTTACCAATTAAAAAGGAAATTATAAGGCATATCATTTTAATACTAAGTTTTAATTAACATTTTCAAATGCTCAAGGAACTAAATGCATTTCTCATTGTTTTAACATTGGTTATACTAAATGAAAGAGGGAATAAGACCATTTCCTTGAAGTCAAATATATGCCATCAAAGCTGATCAAAGGTTTATAATGCACAAAACTAATAGAGCAAACACTATACAAGAGAAGTGTCTTTTTGAAAGTATAATTTGTATTAGTCTCGACATTAAACATGTTATCTAGATTGCTTTAAACAAGAAAATTTCCATACACTAAACAATTTGGCATAAACCATTGAATTTCCATTATACTGTGCTCAAAATACATTTTATCCATCATGTTTCTTAGAGTTATATTTGATTTATCTTTCACTTGCTACTTGAAGTGAAATTCATTGATGCCTCCTTGTTTCTCAAATACTCTATTTCACTATACAAACCTTCATTTACAAAAGTCTTGATTGAGCAAGGTGGGCCTTTATCAATAAAAAAAGTCTTGCATCAAACTATGTATAATTTCCTCTCTAATCAAATCAGGATCAACTCAAAATGCCCAATAATAACTATATTTATATATATATTCTATATATATAAGCTTAATCTAATTGGGTTGCCAATTTTTTCTAGGTTAAAATAGAATATTCTTTTGAAATGCTCTTAAACTTCAGAATAAACCTTCAAAATGTATATTTGCAAATATACCAAACTTGAAATTTTTTATAAATTTAGTTCTAAAGATTGTTTATATTTCAAGAATAGACCCTTGCTCTAGGCCCTTGTCACTAAGAGTGTGGCATAACACTTGGGACAAGATATTACAATGGTAAGCGAGTTGGTGGCATTTCGGTCCCAGTGGTGGCAATTGCACAGGGGTGTATCTTTTATTTACACATGTGTTACTATACTTTTTTTTTTCAGTTGCACATAAAAATATTATACACACAATTGCATTGTAATATTTGAATGGGATATACCACGTAAACAGATACTTCATGTACTTCATGCCACATGTGAAACCATGTCTTCTACTCTTTTATGAGTGATTTGATTCAATTCATGATTTATGGAACTTGGAAACAAGAATATAGAAGAATCTCTATCTGTGCCTTGATTGTGGCCAACCCAAGATGCTCAATTGTGTCAAGCACACTACCCAATACAGCAGGATATCACACTCCGGCTCATCCAGTGTGCTATACAACACCACAATCTCTATCAATCCATTAATAGTCTCATCCAATAGCCAATGTCTGCTGCTGCCATGGGATTCCATTCCCTATCAAACCTCATTCTTGGTGAAGAGCTTGAGTGCCATGTCACAATACGTATAACATTTGCAATTCTTGCCCATTCTGAGGTAGAGATTGGCCAGACTCTAAATCAAACACCCAGATGCATGTAGCCACTGAAGATTGTGAGTGCATGCTCAATGCCTTCTACAATGTAATCAAGTCAATGCCAAATTAATGCAACCAGCAATAGACAACAGTCATGTGAGGCTCATGGCCAACACTCTTTTGGGGGTAGCATCTACAATGTATGGTTTAGTTGTGCTTCCCTGCCATTCTGAAGAATATGCTAATGTGGTAAGTGAATTAAGAATTCATGTGTGGCCATCAATGCAATATATATGCCTTTGAAAAAAAAGTGGGAACCAAAAGATTATTTTGCTAAACAATTGAAGCACACATATGTTTTAAATTCATATATTTTGCAGTATAATAAAATTTGTTGCCACACTACCCACCTCAGTACTTCTTGGGATCACATATAACATGCCATAATATGGTATGTGAGCTTTTGACACACATAGACTTGATCACAAAAGAGAAATCTTTAACTATGTTCAGAAAGGCAGCAGTGAATTGCCTGCTCTGGAAATCCTTGGCACGGTGTCTTTCGCATTAGGTGCAACTGCTGTTTCTTGGTATGGAGTTTTGGGCTAGATGGGCACACAAAGCGCTACGGCGCTTGTCGAGCATGCACAAGGTAATGCATACACAAATTTCCAACAGTTAATTGCCACAAGCCTCTCTACAACAGTCTCATCGCCAAGATCCATTCGAGCTCAATGAACGCAGTTCCCGCTATAGCTCTCATATGTTGCGAATTCTCCCACGAAGGACTCCTTCCTGGTTTGTGCTTTTGAGCAGTAAGTAATAGGAGCGTTTCTTGGAGTTTCGAATTGCAGGGCCTGGGCATCACCATCTTTAGGATGGCCTATATGTTCAAGACGGCCTGGTGCACCAAAGGTTTCCACTGGCCGATGTGCCATACTTCCAGAAGATAGCTGCTGCGTCCATAAACCATTCAGCTCGATTTTACGGCGTTCCGTACTGTTTGTCCTTGTGGCCAAAGAAACTTCGTTGCCGGTAGGTGGAGCAGTGGAGCTGGAGAAGCTGGCGCAATTGCGTGTCAAGTCCGCAATAGAAATTCGTTTTTCTTTCCGTAAAACTAACGACATCCCACGCGTCCTCCAAGCTGTGTCAATTCTAGAAACGTGCGTTTTTGCCTGGAGAATCTTGGCAGCGTGGAATGTCCCAGGCCTTAGATTGAGAAGGCCCACAAAAGCAACATGTTGACATGGTTCGATACAGAAGGGGAAAGATTTAGTATCCCCCCCCCCCTCCCCCCACCTCGGGTGTTTCACGATCAGTCCCTTGTTTGTTTGGAGGCTTCTTGAAATGTATCACTGCAAGGCCGTAGGATGGGCCTTGAATGAGAAGAGTTGCAAGATGTTCTATGGCGTGCAGGTAAAGAAGGAGCAGATTGCCAGTACAACGGCTCCGCACCGGCTTGTCCGAATCCGAAGAGTGGCGAATGTAGCAACAAAAAGTACCGGGCCGGGATTCAAAGTCAATGCATGGGGCTTGATCCTGGGAACGTGTTTGCTCTTGCACCCAGCAAACCAAGCTGTGGCTCTGGACATCGAGACCGCTCAAAAAACATGGAAATGTCTTTTGGGTGGATGCAGGTGCTGTTGTGCTCCACCTCCTCATTTGTTGGGATTCGTTGTTTCTTGTGAATCCAGCTGATCGCATGTTCTTCAGATCTGAGCTGGTTCGATGCGTGGGAGATCCTTCATGCGCTGCCAATTTAGTTTGTCTGGAAATTTGCAGTCCAGGAGACTTGAATTGCCAAGTATTATTTGATTTTATAGACTTTCTGGGATCAAGTTTTTCACTCTGTTTCTGTTCCTCTCTCTCTCTCTCGTTTTGTTTCCGAATATAGGTCAGATGTGGAGACATTTTCCAGAACAAGGTTGTAGAGGAATTCAACACATGCCTCCTGAGCAAAAAAAAGTGCATCCCTCAAAGTGCCAACGACGGCACCTACCCGGTACCTCCAGACTGCGCTTTGGTGGAAAAGTTCAACACCCAAGACTTCACAGGCACATGGTATATTACCAGCGGTCTCAATCCCTTGTTCGATCTCTACGATTGCCAAGTCCATGAGTTCTCGGCCAGCCCCAACAAGCTCACCGGAAAATTGACGTGGAGGGTGACCACCCCCGACGGCGGCTTCATCACACGCGACGCAACACAAAATTTTGTGCAGAAGAATCCCAAACGCCCGGGAGTCCTCTCCAATCATGACAACGAGTACCTCAATTACAAGGAAGATTGGTGAGCAAACGTCCAACAACCGCCATGAATCTTATAAGGAAAGCTTCCGTGTGCGTGCGGTGCGCGATTGCCAGCATAGCTGCGAATCCTTCATGAGCAATTGACGGATTGATTGGGGGCTCTTGCGCAGGTTCATCGTCTCCGCGCGGCTCAACAAGCAACCGGACGACTACATTTTCGTGTACTACACCGGGTCCAACGATGCATGGGACGGCTATGGTGGGGCTATTGTCTACACACGGAGTTCAAGCCTCCCCAAGTCCATTGCCCCCGAGCTGCGGCTTGCTGCTGCTAAAGTCGGCTTGGATTTTGACAACTTCAAGACGACTGACAACAGTTGCACTCCGCAGCCATCTTTGTTTGCTAAAGTCCACAAGAGATTGTTCGAAGGAGAGAAAGCTCTAGCTAATAGTTCTAACTAGTCATTATTCTCCTCTTTGTGTTTAGAATTATTCTACGAAGTGTCTCCTACGTAACATAACCCTACATCCTAACTTGCCACGCCATCAGACAGCAAGGCGAGCAAAGAACGGCAGAATGTAGCGAGACAGCGAGGATGCTTTTGGCTCAGAGCGAATAAAATAATGATACATGGTATTTAGAATGTATTACACTCCTTGAACTTGAAGCTCTCCTCCGTTCCACCGAGGTAAATGGCCAGATATACGCCATAAGGCACGAAAACATTGTCATGATGGCGATCTCCCAAGATCTGCAGTCCCTAACAGCCCTTGAATTCCTTCATTCACGTGAAAAACAAAAGGACAAGGTGACCCATCCCTCCCACCAGTGGTCCCGTTACTAATGAATGGTGAGTGTGCTAAGGAGTTACCGTGTAGGAGTCTGTGGCGTATTGGAAAAATGGCAACCCGTTGTGCATCACTCCAGCTCCTGTTACCAGTTGCATCAGCTGCACCAATAGCGAAGCCCAGAAGTAGCAGGAAATGCAGCAAACGTGCGAGATCCAAGGTTGTGGCACGGGCAGCTCCGCCTCAAGAGGCCCTTCTCGGATCACTGAGTAAGCAGTAGTGCTGTTCTAGATTCATGGGTATGGTCGAACAGCAAAATGATTGAATGCTATACAGAGGAGCTCCAGAGCCTTGTCTCCCCCAAGGTTGAAGAGAGCCAAAGGAGCCGTGCGAAATCGACTGCAGAGGAAGTCATGGATGGCATCTCCCTTGATTCCAAAGTTGTTCTCATCACAGGTCTGGGAATTGATCGGTTTCGGCATCGACACCATACCTTTCCTCCATGTGCAGGCGGTAGCGCTGGGATTGGATTCGAAACATCTAGAGTGCTCGCAAGAAGAGGTGCTCATGTCGTCATTGCCTCCGAGAGCCTTAAGGCTGCACACGCAGCAAAACTCAAGATTTTGGAGCAAACACCCAATGCACAGGTCACCGTGCTCCATCTCAATCTCGGGTCGATGTACTCTGTGCGAAACTTCGTGGCTAAGTTCAAAGCTCTGGGCCTGCCACTTCACATACTCATGTAAGTATCTTCATACACACAAATTAAAGCTCATGGTTGACAAAGTTATGTCTGAAGTAACAATGCAGGAATCGCTTCAAGCCAGTTCGTCCTGTCAGAGGATGGCCTGGAGATGACATTTGCAGTGAATCACGTTGGCCATTTCGTTCTCACTCACTCACTGCTCGACTTGATAGAGGAGACTGCAACGCAATCCGGCAACCGAGGCAGAATCGTCGTTGTTGCTTCCAGCCAACACGAGAGTGCTCGGGGAATTAATTTTAAGAATCTTCACAGAAAAAGTTGGATGTTCGCAGTCCCTGTTTTGCAGAGGTATAGTATGGTATGGTTATAAAGAAAACTTACACATTACAATGAATTTGCAGCATTCATGGACTGTCCACGGTTTATGCACAGACCAAACTTGCTAACATATTGTTTGCCAAGGAACTGGCACGTAGACTCGAGGTTGGTCCTGTTTACTTTGTTTTTGCTCCTCTGGTCTGAACGTTCTCCAGGAGCAAGGAGTGAACATCTCCGTGAACGCGTTGCACCCTGGAGTATTCAACAGCAGCTTCGTTGAGAAATTTGCTGAACCAGCAGGCTGTGAGAAAGCTTACCTGAATATTCCATCTGGATTGATTCTGATCTTTGCCCCGTTCCAGTGGCATTTTCGTGGATTGAACCATTCTTGAAGACGATTGAACAAGGAGCAGCTACAACATGCTACGTGGCGGCACACCCAGATGTCGAGGGCATTTCCGGAAAATACTTTGCAGACTGCCAGGAAACCTCAGGCAGCAAGTATGCCAGCGACATGGAGCTGGGCAAAGAGCTATGGGCCTACACAGAGGACCTCATCGCGTCCCACGCTAATCTAGAAGACTGCCATCTGCCATCTTAGCGGCTCCCACTATTGTGCGGCTTTCACTGTCGCTCTGGATCTTGCTCGCAGCTCTATAAGCTGTTTCACATCACCTCGCATGGAATTTCCAGGTGTATTATACCGATTCTTTCTGAGCTCTCTCCAGGTAAGCTGCGGCAACAGATTTATATTATGTAATCTTCATCATGCTATGGGCAAGATCATCTGGAGAAGTACGCAAGAACCGAAGAGGATGGAGGCTCCCATCGTACAAAGCCACAAAGATTCTTGGCAGCTCGAAGAAAAACAGAACGGAGAGCAATCATGCCACAAAATTGACCGTGTAGAAGCAGAATCTCGCTAGTTTTGGAGCAGCTTCTCTATGAGAAAGCACAAAGGTTATTTGCTGCTGTAAGTATCCAAGGGAGGTTGACGAGGGCATTTGCATGTGCCAGACCGGGTTTCAGCACATATCGACAGCTTACTTGGGATACGACATCCCAGAAGCATTGCTGCCAAATGCGGACTTCCCCCAAACACCGTGAGCAAATGAGCACCACGGAACTCTAGTTCCGTTCCAACATAGTGCGAAGAAACGGAGCTTGGGGAGTCCCAAACAAAGACGGTAACTCCGTATTCGTCGTACATTGTAGTTTTCCGGAACGGATTACTAGTATTTATCCTGAGCCAACGGAAAACGAAACTCCAGGAGTCAGAAAGCAGCCGCGATTGCGGCAGTGGGACAATCCAAGTCACGAGCATTGTTCTTACTTGATTGTGGACTTTCTGCTGCTCCTGATGTTAACGAAGTCGGGAGTATCTGTGCCTCTTCATGTGTGAAAGAGCGAAGCCAAAGTGAATCACTTAAAAGGGCAGTTCCTCTTCAATCATTAGGTGTCCGCGTCCTCTAAATGCATGGTCCATCACGGCTGTGTTGGAACAAGAGGAGCCGAGAGCTCCGCATGTCTCAGCAACATTCCATCCAAACCAAGCTCGCGTTCTTGGAATCTAGTCGCTGAGCCGAGCCGCAGCAGCACTGTGAATGAACAAACCGCCAAGCTCTGCGTGTGTTGTTGATTGATGGTGGACCTTCCTGCGCAACTTTGAGCACAGAGCACCACCCTCCATGTGTGTAAGCATGCAGAGAAAGTGTTGACGACATTGAGTTGTTTGGTCCTGTCTGCTTCTCTTCTTCGTCTTACGTTGTTATTGTTGCTTGTTTAACTGTTCTTGCTGTTGCTTGTGCATCAGCTCCAGGATCAAGCTCGCTTTGCGCCTGGCCCTGCTGGTGCCGTTTTGCACGAGCTCCGCCAAAGGAACCCCGGCGTCGTACTGTTGCGCTGTGACAAGATGAGCTGCGTCGTTCTGGCCCAGAGCAAGGAGAACAGCAGCTGCATTCTCCTTGTTCCTGGCCGAGCCGGAACGTATGAGCTCCACCAAAAGTGGGATGGTTGACTCCTGGCCGATTGCAACGCGCCCCTCCTGGTGCGTTGCAAGTATTGCCAGAATAGCCAAAGCTTCATCCACCATGCCTGCGTTTGGATCCAGCAGCTCCATCAGCGGCGGAACCACGCCAGCTCTCACTGCCTTGGCCTTGTTGCCTTGGTATATGGACAAGTTGAAAAGGGCAGTGGCTGCGTCCTTTTTGCCTCGGGGAGTGCCTTCTCTGAGCAAGTTCACTAGAGCTGGAATCGCAGCCGTCTGGCCAATCGTCACCTTGTTATCGTCCACAACCGAGAGGCTGAAGAGCGTAGCAGCGGCATTCTCTCTTGCCTCCATGCTGCCTGACTTGAGAACCTCGACAATCGGATTTATAGCACCTGCCTGGACGATCTGAGCCTTGTTGGGGTCGTGGATGGAGAGATTGAGCAGAGCGGTAACTGCATGCTCTTGTATCCGCGTGTCCGTGGATGACAAGAGTCCAATCAGCAGCGGAACACCTCCAGCTTCTGCAATGCAAATCCTGTTGTCGATGCTTCTCTTTGCCAGCAGCCTGAGGTCCGCCACAGCTATCCTTTGCACATCCACTTGGGGGCTGGAAAGCTTCTGCAGTAGCGCCTCTACGGCCACCCTGTCTCCACATGCTTCCAAGTCGGACGAGTGACCACCCCGACTCGTGCCAACTTTCTTTGGCAGTTCGATCCCGTTGGTTTCGCACCACTGACAGATGAGACTCCGGAGAACATAGTTTGGAGTCAGCACCAGATGCGGGAGCGTCTGCTGCGTTATCGGGCATGTCTTGTGGCCGGCATCTAGCCACTTTTGGATGTAGGAGCGCTCGTAAGTCTGCAGAATCACGACAATTAATAAAAGAATTCACGATGAGAGCACGTAACCTGGCCAGTTGCAACGATGACGGGGTCTTTCATCAGTTCCAGCGAGATTGGGCACCGGAAATCCTCTGGAATGGCTGGGTTGCTCAGCTTGTCTGATCGCGGTGACGGTGACAAGGGATTTCTCATAGCGAAGTCCACTCGTGCTTTGTCGATTGAAACATAAGGTTCGTCCGCGTCCGAGATGGCAACGCCCTTGAGCCTTCCCAGCACCATCTTGATTGCAGCGTCAAGGTCACCACCTTTGTCGAGCTTCAGGCTCTCCTGCGCACGAAACTCCTCCTCCTTTATCTCGGACCAGGTTTTGAGGTGTAGCTTGTCGGCTAGTCTCTCCGCTGCCATTCTATCATAGTCTCGTTCGTCACTCATGCTGCATCGCATCAGGTCCTCGATCAGCTCCGTGTCGATAACTTCTGCTTTGCCTTTGGCCCTCTTGAGCTGCGCATGGAGGAGCTCCACCTGCGCATGGATCACAATCATCATCGAAAGCTCACCAAGGAAGACAGGTTTTGGTCGACATACCTGTTCTCGGACCTCTTCCGAGAGATTCAGTGAATTGTATGGCAGGGAATCTAGCACATGCTCCAAATCCGCGGTCACGGATTGGAAGCTGCTGGCAATTCCTTCTCTTTTCATGATCTAGATTTCCATCTGCAGTTCAGGCAAGTCAAAGGAGAACTTTGCGGCTTACCAGGAAAATTTTGCTTCCCTTGTGGCAGAGAGAGAGGAGGTCCTTGGCCGAGTGGAGAACGAGCTTGAGGTCGTGGAAGGGGCTAAGGGAATCAAGCGAGCTGGCCTCCCTCGCCTCCTCAAGCAGCGGGGCCAAGAGCTTGAGTCGGCGGGCGAGATTGGTGCATTCCTTGCGGTGCGATCTGGCGTAGTCCCCCAGGGATGATATCTCGTTGAGCAGCCCAATGAGAGTCTCCACCAGCTCCTGGAACTCACCTTGTCCGGCCATAGCGGCCTATGATACCCTAATCAATCACCAGGGCAGCTTAGATCTCGCGTGATTCATGGAGCTCGTTGTAAACGCGTTGCAATCACGCGGCCGCTGGAGCAGCCCTTGCCAGGAATCGAATTGACAAATCCAAGTGAGAGAGAGAATTAGAGCCACGAGATCGAAGGGAGAAAGCCCCAGCCGCCCTGTCCGACTTTGATTCATTCACACAAAAATCAAAATTTCGCCGCCAGCTGGCGGGAGAATGTGGCGTCACGCGTACACGTCAGCCCTCGTCCTCCCTCCACTTCGCGTTTTAGGGCGATGCGATGAATGCGCCGCTCGATCGGGTGCTTCTTCTCGTATAGGCAGCAGCCCGCCCGGGAGGCGGCAGAGGGGGTGAGATGGGCGGGCGTGATCGCGGCGCTCAAGGCGTGTGGCGCGACAGGGGAGGTAGAGGCGGGGCGAAGCATTCATCGCGGCGCGGAGCAAAGGGGCGGCTGGAGCATCTACGCGCACAATGCCGTCATCGAGATGTATGCCAAGTGTGGGCATACCAGGGACGCGAGCGCCGCGTTCTGGCGCATTCCTTGCCACGATCAGGCGTCGTGGAACAGCCTCATTCTGGGATACGCCGCCACTGCCGATGCGGCTGCTGCCCGCCACCTCCTCGACTGCATGGCGTCCTCCGGCTGCCCGCCCACCGCTCCAACGTTCCTTGCCGCGCTCCGGGCCTGTGTTGCCACTGCCGCCACCAAATCCAAGCTCGATGCCCTCGACTGGGGAATGTCTCTGCACTCCCAGGCTGGGCAGCTGGTGGAGAATGATCTGTTCGTGGGCAGCGCTCTCATCGACATGTACGCCAAGTGTGGCAGCCTGCTCGATGCTCGGGCGGTCTTCGACCGGATGGCGCTCCACGATCTCGTGTCGTGGACTTGCCTCATACTCGGCTTTGCGGAGAACGGGCAGGGTGACATGGGCTTGGAGCTGTTTGCGAGCATGACATCGCAGGGGGGCTGCCAACCAAGCTCGCGGACCTTCGTGGCCGCGCTTGTGGCTTGCGCGGCCTCGGCAGACAAGGAGGTGGGGCGGCTCATGGATGGCCAGCTCGTTAAGGTGGCGTCCCTCGACAAATGCTGCGCTCTTCATGCCGGAGCTGTGGAGATTGGGGCCGAGTCGGACACCTTCGTGGCCAACACTGTGATCGACGTCTTCTCGAGGTGCGGGAGCCTTGTCAATGCCCGCAACGTGTTCGATAGGATGGTGCGCCGCGATGTTGTGTCGTGGAACGTGATGATCTCCGGCTATGCAGACAATGGGCACGGTGACGCTGCTCTGGACCTTTTTGCTCGCATCGGCTGTGCTCCCACTTCTCGGACTTTTGTTGCGGCTCTCACGGCCTGTTGCAGCGTGGCGGAACACTCGTCACGAGACGAGGGCCTGAGCAAGGGACGGGCTGTCCATGCACAAGCAAGGTCGAGTGGCTACGAGTTTGACGTCTATGTCGCAAGCACGCTTGTGTTCATGTATGCAAAGTGCGGGTGCCTTGTGGAGGCCTGTCGAGTCTTCCAGCGCATGCCGAGCCATGACGTGGTAGCGTCGACTGCGTTGATGCTGGGTTACACGGACAACGGGGAGTGTGGCCTCGCCTTGGAGCTGTATCAGCGCATGCAAGGCCATGGTGCCGAGACTTACGTCGCCGCTCTGAAAGCCTGTGCGGCCTTGGCAGACAAGGAGGAATGGCAACGAGAAGTTGGCAGCGGTAGGCTTGTCAAGGCCCAGAGCCTGGAAACCGGGGCACGGATTCATTCGCAGGCAGCCGAGAGCGGGTGTGAGTCGGACGTCTTTGTTTCTAACACGCTCATCGACATGTACTGCAAATGCGGGAGTGTGGCCGATGCTCGAGCAGTGTTTGATGCGATGAAGCAGGGCCGGAGCCTTGTGTCCTGGAATGCGCTCCTACTGGGGTACGTAGAGAACGGTGAAGACGAGGTGGCACTCGAGACCTTGTCCAGGATGAGTTTGAGCTGTGCGCCCGATGCAAGGAGTTACGTTGCCGGACTCATGGCTTGCGGGAACCTGGTGGCGCTGGATGCCGGAAGACAGATTCACGCTCTTATTTGTCGCGAGGAGCTGGACAGGGGCAATGCTTTCGTGGTGCATCGGCTGGTGGACTTTTACGGCAAATGTGGGAGGCTGCTGGACGCGCAGCTCGTGTTTGATGCGTCGGGTGTGGAAACAACAAGGGACGTGCTGATATGGAGCGCACTCATCGGGGGCTATAGTTGCCAAGGAGGTACCGCGCAGGCGTTTCGATTCTTTGAGGACATGAAGAACGAAGCCGTGCAACCCAATGCTGTGACGTTTATCTCTCTTCTCAACGCTTGCAACCATGGAGGATTGGTCGACGATGGCGAGCGATTGTTTGCCACAATGCATGCTCAATACGGCATCCAGCCGGAGATCAGGCACTATCACTGCATGGTAGACATGCTTGGACGTGCCAACCGGCTCGACGACGCGGTAACCATGGTTGCCAGCATGCCGTTTGAAGCCACACTTGTGACATGGACCACCGTGCTGGGTGCGTGCCGCAAGTGGAATAACATGCCGCTGGGGAAGCTCGCGTTTGAGGCGTCCTTGAGGCTGGATGACAGCGATGCTGCCACTTACACTCTGATGGCCAATATCTACGGCAGCCTTGGGATGTGGCAAGAGCAGTTCGAGGTGTTGGTGGCCATGAGGCGGAGAACCTCGGCTGCCGCTCTTGGGGTCTGATATTTTGCTCAAGTTTCTATTTGTTGGGGGCGAAGGAGCGGTGTATGCCTCGGTGCCCACACTTGGCTCCACAGCAGGGATGCAGGCCGCCAAGGGCTTTGTGGACGCGGATCCACACATGGAGTTGGAGGCAACCCATGATTGGAGATGACGGCCCGCTGGTGCTCGGAGGAAAGCAAGCTGCACAGGAGCATCGCTACCAAGTCAGGCAGACGGTCCTAGCTGCATTCAAGGCGTCTGGCACTCTCAAGGAACTCGGGACTGGCAAGAGGATCCAGGCTGATGCTCTTGAACAGGGACACCTGACGGGCGATGGAGAGGACAGCTACGCTTTAAACTCGCTTGTGAATATGTATGCCAAGTGTGGAAGCCTGGTGGAGGCTCGTGCCGAGTTTGAAAAGTTGCAGCGCCGGGATGCCGTGTCGTGGACAACACTTATCCTGGCGTATACGGAGAATGGACGAGGCGGGGAAGCCTTGGAACTCTTCTCGCGCATGGCGGACGAGGGTTGCCTGCCGGACGGGCGCACCTATCTTGCTGCTCTCGTGGCCTGTGCGAGCTTGGTTGCCAAGGAGGAAGGCAAGAGAGTTGACAACAGAAAGAGGTGCATGGACAGAGGCATGGCTATATTCTGGCAAGCGTCAACTAACGGGTGCTTCGACGTGTTCGTGGCCAACACGCTCATGGACCTCTTGTCAAAGTGTGGGAGCATGCCTCAAGCCCACGCTGTTTTTGACAGGATTCCGTGCCATAGCATTGTGTCGTGGACAGTCTTGACTCTGGGATATGTCGAGAATGGAGAGCCCGAAACAGCACTTATGCTTTTCAGCGTCATGCAAGATCAACAGGACTTTGTTCCCAACTCTCGGCTTTACGTCGCAGCTCTCATGGCTTGTGCTAGCCTTGCAACCAAGGAAGAAGGGCGGCTGGTCGATGGAAGGCTTGTGAAGTTACGATGCCTGGAGAGGGGTATGGACGTCCACTCTCAGTCGAGAACAAGTGGCTGTGACTCTGTCCCGTTTGTGGCAAACACGCTCATCGACATGTATTCGAAGTGTGGGAGCCTGCTTGATGCCAAGAAGGTGTTTGACAGCACTCAAGCGCGAGATGCTGTTGCTTGGACTGCCATGATGCTTGGCTATGCCGAGAATGGAGAAGCCGAGCGTGCTCTTCATCTGTTCGCGTGCATGGAGCAGCAAGGCTGCAGTCCACGGCCCCAGACGTTTGTGGCGGCGTTGGTTGCCTGCGGTAATATCGTTGCACTGGATGCCGCCAAGAAGATTCACGCCGTTATCTGCAGGCAAGGAGTGGAGAGCAACACCATTGTGGCAAACTGCCTCGTGGACTGCTACAGCCGGTGTGGCAGCCTAACTGCTGCCGAGCTCGTCTTCGCTTGGATGGTGAGAAAGGACGTGGTGTCATGGAGCTCCATGCTATCGGGCTACAGCTGCCAGGGAGCCACGGCTCAAGTGTTCGATCTCTTTCATCAAATGGTGTTCGAGAAAGTCGAGCCAGACAAGATGTCTCTCACGGCACTTCTCACGTCATGCAGCCGCGCAGGCCTCGTAGATAAGGGGATGAAATGCTTCCGCAGCATGCTGGCCGAGTATAGAGTTGACCCCGACGTTCATCACTACCACGTCGCCATCGACATGCTGGGCCGGGCTAACCGGCTTCACGAGGCGGTGGCAATGGTCAAGGCAATGCCGTTCAAGCCGAAGCTCGTGACGTGGATGACCGTCTTGTCCGCCTGTCACAAGTGGAAGGAGGTTGCGCTGGGAAGGCTGGCGTTCGACTGTGTGATGAAGCTGGACGACTCGGAGGATGCCGCTTACGTTCTCATGGGCAACATCTACGGCAGTGTGGGCATGTGGAAGGAGAAGTCGGACATGTTCTCCCTGGGGATGAGCAAGGGACGGGGAGGCGACAATGCGACTACTCATACTCCTCGTGATGGAATTCGATCATCACTTGACAGCCATGGCTAGCACTTTAGACTGCTCCTGCCACATGCCCAGGCTTCCATACAGTCCTGCCATGACAACGTATGCGGACGCCTGCAAGTTCCCGCCAGGAAGCTTGAGTAGTGACTCAAATGCCTCTTGTGCCACTGCCAAGTTCTTCCACTTCTTGCATGCATCCAGCAGTATGGTCCAGGTCACCAATGTTTTCTCTACAGGCATCGTCTTAGCCATGTCCAAGGCGGCATGCAGCTGGTTCATTCGCCCAAGCATGTCAATCATGCAGTGGTAGTGCTGAATGGCTGGGTCGAGGCCGTGCTTGGAGGACATGGACTCGAAGCAGGCCATGCCTTTGTCTACTAAACCTTCATGGTTGCACGCGGTGAGCACACAGAGGAAAGTGACACCGTCTGGCTTTACACCCTGAGCTTGCATCCTTTCAAACACGGTGAACACCGTGACTTGCTGCTCGAGCTTAGAGCCACAGTTGCAGCTGCAAGCAGCCATGAGCGCGTTCCATGTAACCAGGCTCACACTGTCTAGCGTCTCAAACACACGCACGGCATTGCCGATGCTCCCACATTTACCATAGAACCCGACCAAGCAGCTTGCAACGAATGCCTCGACCTCGAGGCCACTCCGGCATGTCTCTGCGTGTATTTCCCGCCCATAGCTGATAGCTGCATTGCCGCATGCTACGAGAAGAGCTACGTGTGTTCGAGCATCCGGCTTGCAACCTTCGTGCCTCATACACGCAAACAGATCCAGAGCCAATAGCTCCTGTTCATTCTCCGCGCATCCCAGGAGCAAGGCATTCCACGACACCACGTCACGGTGGAACATCCTGTCGAACGTCCCGCGAGCATCTAAAAGGCTTCCGCACTTGGAGTAGAGATCCACAAGCGCGTTTGCAACGAACATATCTCCGTCGTGGCCGCATTGCCAGGCTTGGGAGTGGAGCCCCATCCCTCTCTCTAAAGCCTTCAACTTCAGAGTTGAAGGCTTTAGACCACCATCTCCAAGATAGTCATGCTTGCCATCCGAGACCGCAGAGGCTGGTTGTGCTTCCTCCACAGCTGCCAGTCTAGAGCATGCCGTCAGCGCAGCGACAAAGCATCGGGCGTCCGGTTGACAACCCTCGAGCTGCATCCATGCAAACAGGACGAATGCGACCTTGCAATCTCCAGCTTCTGCATAGCCAAGGATGATGCTCGTCCAGCACACGACATCGCGGTGCTGCATCTTGTGGAAAGTTTCCCACGCATCTGCAAGGCTGCCGCATTTAACGTACATGTCAACCAAGCTGCCCCCGACAAACGTGTCCTTGGAGTCCAAACCAGTCTTGGCAACTTGAGAATGGATAAGCATCCCGCGGTGGAGGTCCCCCAGGCTGCCACAGGCCTTGAGCGCCGCCACGAAAGTCAGAGCACTCGGATCATGCATCTGAGCAAATGCGTGTAGAGCTTGAGCAGGCTGCCCGTTGTCCACATATCCCAGGATCAAGGCCGTCCAGGTGACAACGTCGCGATCGTGGTGCGGCATTGCGTCAAACACAGCTCGGGCATCTGTCATGCTCCCACACTTTGCATACATGTCCACAAGGGCACTCGCCACAAACACGTCCGAGCCACATGATCCGCTGGTAACGGACTGGACGTGAAGGTCTCTGCCGATGTCGAGCCACAACCTTTTGCAAGTAACGTCGTCGCGTGCTAGGCTGGTCACTGCCATCAAAGCAGCAGTGTAGCTCCGGGCATCGGGTTCGCAGCCGCCTTCCAGCTGCATGCGTTGGAAGAGGTCCAAGGCCACACGGCCCATGCCTTTGGATGCATATCCCAGCACGAGTGCGGTCCATGAGACAACGTCGCGCTCCTGCTCGGCTATGGCATCAAATGCCGCTTGCGCATCGGCCATGTCACTGCTGCACTTGGCATACATGCTGACAAGGGTGTTGGCGGCGTAGATGTTGGAGGCGAAGAGCTGCGTCCCCTCACTTGTGGCATGGACTCGCTTCCCAAACGCGAGGTTCTTTGTGCTGCACGCGGATTTTAACGCTGCAATTAGGCTCCACACTGGCGCCACCAGCTGCTCCACGTTGGAGGTGCGGCAACGATATCCATTTCTATGTAGGGAAGTCCAGATCCCTGGCATTGAAGCAGATGACCTGTGTGGGCATTTGCGGTGATACCTGCAGTCGCTAGCCTGTGTTTACGTTGGCCGAAAGCACGTAGCTGCTAGCCTCAGAATCTAATCCCAATGAAACTAGCGATGTGAGTGCAGCACGGCCCACTCCAGCACACTTCCATCTGGAAGATGCATCTAGCAGCAGCGTCCAAGTCACCGCATTGGGCTGAAAGGGCATTGCCTCGAGCACCTCCACAGCAGCATCCAGCTCGTTCACCCGGCCAAGCATGTCAACCACGCAGTGGTAATGCTCAATGCCAGCACAGGCGCCATACTTGTCACGCAGCACTCGCAAGTAGTGCCTTGCCCTGTCCACGCATCCACCATGGCTGCACGCAGTGAGAAGGCAGATGAATGTTACGCTGTCTGGGTGAGGACGCCCGCCCTCCTCTAGGAGATCAAACAGTGCGGACGCGGCGCTCACATGTCCTGAGCGGCTGTATCCCGAGATCAAAGCATTCCATCCAGCAATGTCAATGCTGTCGATGGCAGCCGAGTCAAAAACGTGCTGTGCGTCAGCAATGCGGCCGCACTTTGCATACGCATCGACGAGGCAAGTGACAAGGATCCCGCCATCGTCGAGAGGGCCATGATCATGGTACCTGTACAAGCGGGCGTGTATGGCCTTTGTTGCGACCGAGTCCCCCACACTTGAGCAAGCCGAAAGAGCTGCCGCGCACGCCCTTGCCGCGGGGATCCCACTATCGGACGCCTTACTATCTCTTTGTCGTGAAAGCGCCAGGGCGAGCTCTGCCTCGCCATTCACGGCACAGCCGCGGATGAGTGAATTCCAAGACACGTCGGTGTGATATTTGATGCTGTCGAAAACACGGCGCATGTCTGCAACGCTTCCACACTTGGCATACACATCCAGCAGGGCGTTGGCAACCACCGTGTCCGATAGTTTTGTTTGTGTAAGTTGCGCATGAACGGCCATGCATCGCTCCAGAGACACCAGCTTTGCTACCACATGTTTGCCGCCAGGCCTTCCTGTTTCCGAGATGCCCGACCCTTGTTCTCCTTCCGCAAGACATGCCAGCGCCTTGAAAGCCGCGGCAAACGTCCACGCATCTGGCTGACAGCCATCTAATTGTTTCTGTAGCATGAGCTCGAAGAACTGCAGAGCAACCCGAGGCATTGCAGCTCCCGACATGAGTGCATTGCATGACACCACGTCCGGTTGCAGCATTGTGGAAAACACTCGGCTTGCATCGTCAGCGCTGCCACACTTGGCGTACATGTCAACAAGGCTGTTGGAGACGACTGTGTGATAAGCAAGGTTGTGGCGGCTGGCAGCATGAGCGTGGAGCGCCATGCCTTTCTCCAGAATTGCTAGGCGCTGACAACCCCTCGAATTCACTTTGGCCGCTGCCAGACTGCTACAAGCCTTGAATGCAGCTGTATAAGTTGCGAGCCCCGCATCTAAGGTGGCAGTCATGGACGCAAACGATTCCAGCGCCAAGTCAGCCATGCCATTGTCAACATAGCCCAAAATGAGTGAAGTCCAAGCGTTGGGATCAGGTTGCCGCATCCCGTCAAAGACCATTTGAGCATCGACCATACTCCAGCACTTGGCATACATATCCACAAGAGCGTTGGCTACAACCTTGTCTTCCTCGCAGCCCCTCTCTCTTGCGTGAGCATGGAGAGCCATCCCATTTTCTAGGCCCCGTAACTTGCCTGCTGGCTCGATGGTTGCTGCTGCCACATTGGGGCAAGCTCTCAACGCAGCAGCAAAAGCCATGGAATCACAGCCTGCACATCGCGTCATGAGCTCAAAACACTCGAGAGCTGCCTCTGCCTTGCCTTCACCAGCATAGCCCAGCACCAGCACGGTCCATGACACGAGATCAACGTTACGTCTAGACCAGGCAGCGTCAAACACTAGACAGGCATCGGCAAAGCTCCCACATTTGACGTACATATCCATGAGTGAGCTCACCACGTACCTGTCGGGCTTGGAGCTTATGAGCAGCAGCTGAGCATGAACAGCCATGCCTACCTCCAGAGCCGCAAGCTTGACGAGCTTACCATCGATTAACGTCACCTCCTCGTTTGCTGCCAGGCAATTTGCACACGATTTGAGCACAGCAACAAAGGTGCGCCCGTTTGGTGGTGGATGGCTCCGATCTGCTTGCATGTGTTGGAAGAGTGTGAGGGCGGATTGGCCGTCCCCGTTGTCAGCATAGCTGAGAATGAGCGCGGTCCATGACACAGCATCTGGCCGCAGCAACCTATCAAACACCATGTGGGAGTCGACTGGGCTCCCACACTTGCCATAGACGCTGATGAGTGTGTTGGCTAGGAGCCTGTCATCATCCTTGCATATTCTGGAAGCTCGAGAGGCAATAAACATCGCCTTTTCTAGTGACACCATCTTCACAGCCCCTAGCTGAGAGTCCTCTTCTTGATTCGCCAGAGAGGCACACGCCTTGAGACCCGCAGTGAAGGTTTGGGCATCTGGCAGGGGGCAGCAGTGGTGCTTTACGTTCATTACCTTAAGAAGCAGCAAAACCATCTCTCCCTCGCCATTGGTAGCATATCCCCACAGCAGTGCATTCCATAGCACCAAGTCAGGAGGCCGGGGCATCCCGTCGAAGACGCTGCGAGCGTCTGCCATGCTACCGCATTTGGCGTACATATCTACCAGGCTGCTCGCAACGTACATGTTGTGCTCCAGCCCGCAATCAGCTGCTTGCCGGTGAAGTCGTCGCCCTCCCTCCAAATCTCGCGACCTGCCACACGACTTCAACGATGCAATCAGGTCACATACCTTGTTCCTCAGCTGCACGTGAAGGGGCACATGTCTCTTCTCTTGAAGAGACATCCGGTGCTCCGTAAGCGCTAAATAGCCATTCACAGAAGAATTCCAGCATTTGGCCCAACTGGGCATACTATCTTAGCTACAGGAGCTCATGAACCATGACCTGTGGGGCCAAGTGCCAGAAGTGTACAACCGTGAGGCTTACACTTCGCTCCTACGGGAGTGCATCAGTGGAAGGGCGCTAGAAAGAGGGGCACGCATCCATGCCCGGTTGATAGCAATAGAGAAAGACAAAGACACCGCTATTGGGAACTTGCTGGTGCAAATGTATGCCAAGTGCGGAGATTTGCACCGAGCAAGAAAGGCTTTCTACAGCATAGAGCGAAGGAACAGTGTGTCATGGACGGTGATGCTGGCTGCCTATATCGATCACGGCAAACAAGAGCAAGGACTCTGCTTGTTCCACACTATGGACCTGGAGGGAGCCCAGGCAGACATGGATGCGTTCACCTTGTCATGCGTGCTCAGCGCGTGCTCCAGCCTAGGGGCAGGCGCAGAGGGCCAGGCCATCCATGCTCGTCTCGTTGCGTGCGGATACGAGCTCGACATTCCGCTACAAAACGCCCTCGTCACCATGTATGCCAAGTCGGGCAGCATTCAGGTGGCAAGGCAGGTGTTTGAGAACATGGCCGCGAGAAACCTCATCTCGTGGAATGCCATCCTTCTCGCTAACCACCACAACCGCTTCAACGTTGAGGCATGCCTCATCTACCTCCGCATGAACTTGGAAGGCGTGCAGCCAAATGCAGTGACATTTGTAGCGGTCGTCGGTGCCTTGTCCGAGCAGGGACCGGGACTTAAAACCGTCTTAAGAGGCCGGGCGGTCCACGCGCGAGCGGCTGCGTCCGGCTTTGCCTCCCAAACCGTGCTCCAAAACGCTCTCATCAGCATGTACTCAAGGTGCCACTGCCTAGAAGAGGCCAGGAGAGTGTTCGACAACATCCAAGACAAGAGCCGTGTGTCGTGGACATCGATCATCTCGGCCTATGTCCAGCACGAGCGGGGTGACGAGTCGCTGAAGATGTTCCTGGCCATGAACTTGGACGGCATGCAGCCGGACGAAATGACACTGTCTGCCCTCTGTGCTGCGTGCTGCCAGCTTGAGGATCGAGGCCGAGGCCTGGCAGTGGGAAGGGGCGTCCATACACGGATCCGAGTTGCTGGCCACGACCAAAACCCCGTGGTTGGAACAGCTCTGGTGTGCATGTACGCCCGATGCGGCTGCCTGCTGGAGGCCGCAGCAGTCTTTAACAAGCTGACGCCCAAAGACGTGGTGTCATGGAACGCCATGCTCACTGCCACTGTCGAGGCTGGAGAGGCGGAAGAAGCACTCCGGCTTCACCAGCGGATGAGAGCTGAGGGAGTGATGCCGGATGCGGCTACATTTGCTGTGGTTGTAGCAGCGTGCAGCGCGCTCAAGGACGAGGCCACGTCGAGGGCCGTGCACACCGAGGTAGCTGCTCGCGGCCTCGACGGCCACCCCGTGTCCGGCACTGCTCTCGTGTGCATGTATGCCAAATGCGGGCGCTTGGATGACGCCACCACGGTGTTTGAAAGGATGCAGCGGCACTCGGTGCTGGCTGTGGCCGCCTGGAACTCCATCCTCGCTGCTCTTGCAAAACACGGGCACGGCGCCACGGCCGTGGAGTTTTTCAGAGTGATGACAATGGCGTATGTACAACCGGATGGGATCACCATCACTGTTATGTTGCACGCTTGCAGCCACTCAGGCTTGCTTGCGACCGGTCTCGACTACTTCTTGTCTATGTTGCATGACTTTGGATTGGCACCCGCTGCCGAGCATTACGCATGCTTGATAGATCTCCTAGGACGAGCAGGAGTGGGAGCCGAGGCGGAAGAAGTCATTCGTGGCATGCCGTTTGCGCCCGACAATGTTGCGTGGAAAACCCTCCTGGCTTCCTGTCAAACATCCAAGGATGCGGGCCGGGGATCTAGAGCCGCTATGCAACTTATTCGCATGGACCCATTGCTCCATGACTCGTCCTACGTGCTTCTATCTAACATTCTCCCCGTGTAAACTAAGTGTGTACGCGTTGAATAAAAGCAAACCACAGGGCAAACACACATATATCTTACCTAAACATATCTATCTGCCACCCGGAAAGCCGCCACCACCTCCACCGCCTCCTTGGAAGTTACCACCGCCGCCTTGACCTCCTTGCCCTCCCTGTCCCGGAAAGTTGCCTCCAGCTCCGCCACCCGGAAAGTTACCGCCGCCAGCGCCGCCCTGATTGCCTGGGATGTTACCACCGCCCTGATTGCCTGGGAAGTTACCACCGCCCTGATTGCCTGGGAAGTTACCACCGCCTTGATTACCCTGGAAACCACCTCCCGCCCCTTGCTGCTGGAAACCACCGCCTTGGCCACCACCCTGCGGGATGTTGCCCGGACCACCACCACCCTGCGGAAAGCCACCACCACCGCCACCCTGTGGGAAGCCCTGGCCACCTCCGGCACCCTGGTTGAAGTTGCCACCGCCACCACCGCCAAAGCCGCCACCGCCGCCGCCGCCAAAGTTACTCCTCGGCCCTCGGTCCCAAGAGCCACCGCCACCCCTGGGAGTAGAGAAGCCAAGTGGGCTCCGGTTGGGAGGTGGCTGATCGGCAGGCCAGGTGCCCATGTGGGAGTTTGCCGGGTTTGGATCCCACGTCCATCCCTTGGCCCTCAGCTCCGGCTTGGTGGGATCATCCCACTTGGAGTCCCAGTAGGGGAGGCCATTGGGATTGTCCCACAGCTTACCACCACCCTTGGAGCTGCTGCTGTAGGAGCTGGGGGTGTAGGTGGGAATGTCCCTGGGAGCATTCGGGTTGGGCCACGTCTTGCCGGTGCCTGGCTTAGAGGACCAGCTGCTAGTGGAGCCGTAAGTCCCCACCCCGCCAGCCGCACCGCCACCCGTGTTGCCAGCCGCCGCGTTGCTACCATCAAGTTCCCGGCTGGACGTGCTCCCTTCGGGGACAACCGGCCCAGTGGCGGTGCTAGCGCCACCGGTGGCGCCTGTGGCGCCGCTGCCGCTGTCATCGGGACTTGGCCAGCTCCTCTCCGCGTTGAGGTAGCCCAGGGTTTTGAAGCCGCGCAGAGCGAAGAGCTTGCCAGGCGCCGCGAGAGGCTCAAAAAGCACCCTCTTCTCCTCTTCTGCCAAAACCCAAACAAAGAGAGGTGGTCACGGAGAAAGCGAAAGAAAATTAGACAATGCGGGATACCCACCGTAGCGGAGCGCATTCTGCAGGAGACGCCGCCCCACGACACCCGACCTCCTCATCGCCATCGCTCCTCCCTGCGCTGCGCTCTCTAAACCCTCACTAAAACCCTAGCCCCCTCGCATTGGTCTTTAAAAGAACGTGCGGTCCCGATGGCTCAGATGCTCCATCAACGGCTCTGCTTCGTCCGTGGCGGCTCAGATATTTTGTCCTAGGAAAATGCCCTAGGTGACGAGTTCGACTCCTGCGAGCCTAGTCCCTCTTAGTTATTGACGAAGAAGAGGATAGGATAAGAGGACCCGCGCTATGGCGGCCACCTTAACGGCGGTGGCGGCGGCGGGCCAAATGCGGTGGCCACCATCATCACCATCACATTCGCCGACTATTGCTGGCAGGTTGGTCCAGGTGGATATCTCCGCTGCTCGTCGTCCAGTTTGCGCACAAGCGGTAAGAAGAAGAATGCTCTTTCATGTCTGGAATGTCTCGTTTGCTTGTTTTGGCTTGCTTGTGCAAGAAGACCAAAGCACCACCCGGCGGCATTGCTCAAGGCCTCGGACAGCAGCCCGGCCACCAAGAATCTCACCACTACGTGGGAACATGTGAAACTCATACGCTACCTTTCGTTCTCTCTTTGGACGATGCCTTGACGGCGCTCAAATCTTTTGTGTGCCAGCTTCGTCCTCCAGTCCTCGGCCAAGGCATTCTCCGGGTCCAGGTATGGTTTTTTGGTCCATTCCATCGTCTCCCTGCCGAGAGTAGAGTGTCGCCCATCTCACAAACAGGTTCCGCTTCCTCCCAACGTCAAGGCGTTGCATTGGCTGCAATGTCAACCCGAGTGCAGCCTTTTGCTACCTCGGATGTATTTCTCGCCCAGGAGCAACACACCACCCCACGCAGGTGGCAGCAGCATCCAAGTGACTGTGGCCGGCGTTGGATCCGCTGCAAGCTTCCGGGGAGACGAGCCCTTCTCTAAAAAACACTGGAATTCAATCAACAGGTACCAGTCACTCCATCCACCACTTCCATAGAATGACGCGTTTTCTTTCGTCAGATTCCTCTCCGAGGACTCGCCTCTCATTCGCGCATATGGTGCCATTCGCTTCAACCCCGAAGTTGAAGCCTCGGAGGAGTGGCAAGCTTTCGGCACCTTCTACTTTTTCATACCTCAGGTACTTGAGGAGAGCCTTGCAGCGGGGCATGGCATCTGATTGTTTTGCTGGCTGCCAAGATCGAACTGTGCGAAACTGGAAACTACTCTCTGCTTGCAGCAAATCTCTCCTGGGGGGACGTTGCATACGAAAAGGCCGCAGAAACGCTGCTGACGGCATTAAGCAGTGTAAGCCAAACCCACCGCAAAAGAAAGTGTTTCAGACGTTTTAACCTCGTGTTTGCCGCAGGTCTCTGTGCAGGTCAGCGCTTCTCTGAACAAACTTCACCTCAGTAATGTCGTGAAAACACACAAGCCCGACGAGCGCTGTTGGCACGCAAAAGTCAATACTGTCCTTCGAGAGCTCGAAACAAAGAGTGAAACGATGAAAAAGGTAAGGCGATCCAATACATCGTGGTGAAATTATCTTCGATGCCTTCAGGTCGTAATGGCACGTCAAACGAGGCTAGAAATCGACGGAGAAGTTCCTCCACTCACTCTCCTGGCGTCCTTGCAGGTCAGTTTGGTTTGGTTGGCTGTGTGACTTAACTGAGCCGCGCGGTGAAAGAATTGCAGGACCAAAATCCTTCAGCATACCAGTTTTGTTTGCAACTACCAGATGGGAGTGCATTCATTGGAAACACGGTGAGCGGTTGGCATTAGTATACAAACAGAAAAGAATCGTGCTTACCATTGTCAATCAACAGCCCGAACAGCTTTTTGCAAGACATGGCTTGTCTGTTACGAGTGAAGCGGTGGCTGCAACTCGGCCCCGTGGGGAAACAAGCGTGGAGGACAACCAGATAGGACTTGAACTTCTCCAAAGGTTGATACCCTTAAAGACAACCATTTAGTATGTCTGAAACGTTTTAGTGGCAGCTGCAAAGACCACATAGAGTTCCAAATCGTGCAAGAGGCTGTGCAATCTGCTATGCTGGTACGAGCCTGTTTACACGAATATAGGCGCTTTATACTAATGTTATTACATGTGCAGAGCGTTTGCAACGACGTCAAGTTGGCATTTGTAAAAGGAATAATCAAGCAGCCAAGGATCCAACATCTATGCACGCGATTTCTTGGCGTGCTCAACAACAAACGTGACGAAGTATGCTGTCAGCTGGTGTTTGCTTGCTTGTCTGAGAGCTCGACGTTTGCTTGGCAGTACGATCTACTAGCCGCGTTGCATCCTACACCTGCAGTCTGTGGCCATCCTTCGGGTGCTGCCAAAGATGTTATAGCATGCACGGGTAACAAGCTGATCATTTCGAAGCTAAAAGTAGTCCGTTTGTGCTGTCGCAGAGAAGTTCGACAGAGGCATGTATGCAGGACCAGTGGGGTGGTTTGGTGGTCAGGGTGCTGAATTTGCCGTGGGCATAAGGTCGGCATTGGTCAGAAAGCTTAAAGGAAAAGCTGGTTGCGGAATGAATGCTGCCTACAATGACAGTGAGCGAAAGGTTGCTACCCTTCTCTTTGAAGCGCCAATGATACCTTTGGCATTCCGCTGACAGGATATGTTCCTCTACGCTGGTGTCGGCATTGTAGAAGGATCCAATTCTTCGTCTGAATGGCATGAGCTAGAGCTGAAAACAAGCCAGGTAGGTTCCTTTGATATGTAAAAACGAAATGCTTCTGACGCTGCTCAGTTTGAAGCGCTGCTCCAACCGAGCAAGCAACTCAAAGATGCGGCAAACATCAACATGCTCTGGGCCCGGCTCCTAGTCGACGAGTGCTGCAGGCTGGGCGTGACAGTGAGTTGTTGTTTGCTGCATCTAATTTGGCCTTCAGTACTTCTGTGTTGCTCCAGGCTCGCGATCATCCCCACTTGCAGAAGCTGCGGCTGCAAATCCGCGAGTAACCTGTATATCATGTGTCGACGAGAGGTCGTTAGGATTCTACGCACTTGGATATGGTCGAGGTGCGAGGAGGCCTGCAGCCGTCGTCATCACCTCTGGGACAGCAATGTCCAACCTCCTCCCAGCTGTGTGTTGAGCAAACACTCCTTGGGTTAAGTTTGTATACTGTTCTCGTGTGTGTTTCAAAGCAGCGCGTTGGATAGAGTCATTAGTGACGCTTGTGACTGCAGGTGGTTGAAGCCAGTCAAGACTGTGTTCCACTGCTGATACTGTCCGCTGACCGTCCACACGAACTGAGAGATGTGGGAGCAAATCAGAGCATCAACCAAGTAAGGCTTGTCTTTGCGTTCCCTGCTTAAGAATCAATGATACGCAGGTCAAACACTTTGGAAGTTTTGTTCGGTTTGATTTTGATCTTCCTCCAGCAACCGATGAAGTTCCAGCAAGGATGGTTCTCACGACTTTAGACACGGCCATATTCCGTGCGACCACGGACCCGTACGGCCCAGTCCACGTCAACTGTCCATTCAGAGAGCCCTTGGAAGCTGTACGTGCGGAGTGGGATCTGGAGTGCCTGGAGGGCCTTAGTCAGTGGATGGCAAGCGCTTCTCCTTTCACAACATACATCCCCAGCAGCACAAGCAGTCTGTTGGATGGCACTGCCACTTTGTATACAGGCAGCCAGATGAAGGAGGTGTCAAGCCTGATTGCCAGTGCCAGCCGCGGGGTGATTGTGGCTGGCGGGCTTAACCAGTCACAAACAACGTGGGCCGTTTTCAAGCTTGCCAAACACCTCAGGTGGCCGCTCGTTCCTGACGTT